CATTCCTGGAATAAATCCTAAAGCAGTATTCAAAACAAGAGGAAAGCTGTATGTGTGAAAATGCTCACTATAAACGACAACAGCAAACAAAGGAAGGGGAAGCAAACTAAATATTCAAATAGTCAATAATAATAAATGATGGAATAGTGTGTAAAGGAAAAATTATGAAAAATGTGAAAATATGAAAAATATATATGTGAAATAAATGCACATATGATAAGGCCTGCACCATAACATGGACACATAAAAGGTGATTTTCTTATTTTAAAAAAATTTTGTTTTGGTTCCATAATTTTGTTGATGCTGATACAAAATGTGGGGAGAACTCCTGACTAGCAGGATACTCAGTGCATGTCCTATGTGCTCAGGCTGCAGCTGCATGGTCCAGGGGAATGAGGTGGACACTGAAAGCAGACAGCTTTGAATTCTGAGTCGGCCCCTCATTTGTGGTGTGAACATGGGCAAAGTATTTTACTCTTTCCTGGTCAGAGTTACTGCTTCTGTACAACAGGGCTGAATACCACGCTGCTGTAAAGATGAAATTCCTAGTACAGGTGAAATCCCTAATATACCGTTTGGCTCCACAAAAGCTAGTTTTTTTCTGTCCTTTAGTTACCTGGGGCAAGGGCTTTCTTGTTTTTTTGCAAAACTTGTAATTGGAGTCACTGCTTGGAGAGCCGTCTGATTCAACTTGATGGCGACTGCCTAAAAATCCAGAGGAAGATAGGCTCAGTTCCAAGAGGTGGACGCTTACCTTTCACATTGAGAAAAGAGCTGAGACGCATGTAGGGCAGCTGTGAATTACCTCTGGGTTGTCAGTCAGGTAGATCTGTCTGGAGATGTTGTTTATTGCACATATCCACTGTAGATGACATTAAAAAAATGTGCTGAATCCCAAAGTCACCCACTATACTAGAACAGAAGTGAAACAAACAAAACCTTTACCTCTTCGTTTTCCTTTCTGCTTTCCGCCTGGAGGATTATTCCCCTGAAATAAAGTACACCTAAGTAAGTGCTTCCTGGACCTCAGTGACTGAATTTCTGCATGCGGCGGGCCAGGAATAAGACACAAATAATTCTGCTCTACTTCTGCGAAGGCGTCACTCTTAAAGGGACTCCACACCTGCCAGTCCCTTTGTTCCTCATCTCATCTGTGGGAGGTGGGGAACATGGATTTTATCCCTATTTCTTATCTGAGGGAACCAAGGCCCAGAGGAGTTAAGTAACTGCCTGGGACTGTGACTAGAATCCAGAAGCTTCATTCCCAGGTCATTTACCATCACCCAGAGAGGAAGGATGATGTCTAAAAATGCTCTGCCGTACTGGGAGAAGAGATGGTCTACATCATACCAGCGCTGCCCCCTCCCCATGAATGTGCTATTGTTCAAATAAAATCTCAACTCAGAAGCCCAACAGAGAAAGCAAACGCAAGCAGAGCAGCTCTGAGAACGGGGCCACTCCTCTCCCCCAAGTAGGTGAAGCCTGGAGCACTTCATGGGGCTTCAAACTCCTTGGAGCAGTTTGAAACCACTGCTCTAAGTGAGAGGGGGTCCCACTGGGATGGGATCTACTGTGATGATACACGGCTGCCATTCTGCAAACATGGCCTCTCCTGGGCCCAAGGTGCATGGCAGATGTGGGGACAGAGTGCTGACAAATAACTCTGCTGCAGCGGCATGTCCTGTTCACATCTCCTGTGTCAGCTGGGGAAGTGGACTCCTCAGGCAGGTACCCACTCTCCCCCTCAGCCCCCCGACCCCGTGATGTGGACACAAAGGCTTGTATAGAACATACGAGGAGCGGCTACGGTCCCACCCCTCTCTCTCTGAGTCTCTGCTGACAGACAGCTCCTATCGCCGTCCTACACACGGAGGTCACCTCTTCTCCACAGCCACAGACAAATCCTCTCTGGGACTCCTGAGATTAAGGCAGGCTGGATTCCATATGGTCCTGTGTGCTTGCTTAAAGAGGACATAAAACCACCCTCCCGAACGGTCACCACCACCCAGAACAGGGCCTCCCCTGTGGAGGGCTGGCACAGAGGAGTGACCTTGGCAGAAGTGGGGTCACTGCACCTGTTTCCTCCCACATAAAACCCGTGTGGCCTACGCTTTTCCATTGGGAGTGGTGATCTGGAAGCAGTATCGTCGGTCTTCACAGTCCACTGCCATCACTGAGCAGTTGTCCAGGTCCTGGATCAAGCCTCCGGCCACGGCACCCCTGGGCTGACACATGAGATTCCCGCCTTGGGTGAAGAAGTAGAGTCTCTCCCAGGTGGTGGTGACCAGCCCTGTTTTACTGTAAGAATTGTGTTGGGAAAAGCTCATTAGTACTAGGAAGCATGAGAGGCACCTCAGTCTTGCTGCCTCTTTATGGGTATTGGTAGCATTTTAGAAATAATGTGTTGCTTTACATTAAAGCAAAACTTCTCTGAAAAGAATTCAAGTGCAAAGAGTAGCAGGAGAGGCACAGGTTAGCTTGAATGAGCTGGGAGCTGATGGGCTCTGCTCAGACGGGAAAGGCCGGTCCACAGCCAAATCCAGGGTGGGGGCAGGGGGCGCCCACCCCCACTGAAGCCAGTCTCTGGCTTCTAAAGCCGGGATCTGGAAACAGAATTAGTCCATCACCACCCGGAACTGAAAATCTGGAAGATCATTTCTCTAAGACACAGAGCTGAACTGCTCTAAGTCTAGTTAAGAGTCACCAGGGTTACCCCGGCCACAGCACACACCCCAGAATCCTGGGCACTTTATACCAGATTGGGTTTTGCTCCAGCTAGATGTTATGCTGCTTCTGTGGGCTGTTTACAAGAGAAAAATCTAGTTCCTGGCAAATAAAACCAGAACCTTGTGGAGTTTTCTATCTGTATAGAACTAAAGGAGACCTCTGGCTTGTGATCTCAACGAGCTTTACAGACCTTTGAAAGGCTCTAACCTGGTAAGAAAACAGCTGGCAATTCCTCTTCGTACATCCTCCATTTGGGGGATATCAAATATATTTATTTGATTCGGTATTTACTGAGTTGTGACTATGTATGGGGCACTAGATTTCCTGCCTCAATAATTACAATATCCAAAAATGGTAACAGCTAACATTTGAGTACTTATACCTGCTAGGAATTACCTCACTCAATCTTTGTGACAACTTTATGAAGTAGGTGCAATCTTCAGCTCTATTTTACAGATGAAATGCCGGGGCAGCGGGGCCCAGCCGGGCCAGGACGTCTGACCAAAGTCAGAGCTCACCACCGTACCTGACAACAACCCCACCTGCTCTCAGGCAGTCAAACCTGGGCACCTCTTTAATTCATAGTGAACATCTGAAACCTGAGGGTTAAACATGGGGTTCAGTCTATATGAACCTAGATGATTCTGGAAGCTTCCTGGCCCTCAGACTCTGGCCTCAGTGCTGCATCACCGGCACACTGCTCTCACCCATCAGGGGTCTGGGGAAGGGTCTCAATGGTCTAGGATGATGACAGTTAAGAGCAGTCTGTCAAATGGCCATGGTGACCAGGGAGGGGCGGCCTGTGGTGTCTTGGGAGTCTATGCACTGACTGGGTTCTTACTCACACGACTGTTTCAAGCCCCATCTCTCAATGCAGTTTGGGACCTGGGCCCAGACACTTCCTATGTCCCAGGCAGGAGGGGTGCTGTGGCGGGAGCACTAACCCAACCTCACACACCCCCACCCTCTGATGGGGCACTTAACAGGTGCTTTTCAGCCACTCCCAGGGCACACAGATTTTAGAAAAAGAGGCAGGCAATGAACTCTCACTTTCTAAGGTTAAGGTAACCAGCCTTCTGGATGAGGTTCCTGTTGATCTGGGGTGCAGCCACATCGAAATCTGGAGTGTAAACAGCTTTCTCAAGAGAAAGTAATTCTTGCTGGGATGCCTGCATCTTCTCCGCTTCCACTTCCAGTTCCACCTGGATGCTTGAGACAGAAGGTGTCAGGTCAGTCACTTGTCACAGCAGATGGTGGAGCCTCCCCATGGCTTCCTGCCTCACACATGGGGGCATGACACTCCACCCCCGAGGCTCTGAAAGCTGGAGATCACAGGGACTCCGGTCTGTGCTACCAAATTGTTTATATGACTGTTGTTTTCAAACAGAGCATAACGAATACCACTGGACGATGCCTGAACCCAGCTAAATAATTTCTCTGTTGACACAGTGGTATCCAGGCTCAGACTTGTTGATGCAAGTTTTAGAAGATGAACCCATCCTCAGGAGCCGCATGTGCTGGCAGCCTGTGAAAGAGCCAGAAAGGCAGGAAGGAAACGGCAGTCATTCATGGCCCCCAACCCCCGGTTTAGGCAGGAATGGTGGGGACGGCCACTGGAGACCGGAAAGTGACCAGGAGGTGGTACCAAGGCGCAACAGCAAAGCCAAGAGCAATGCTTTTCCTTATATGAGAGCCACACAACTGCCTTGAGACGGTGCTGGCTGGCCGGCCTGTCTGCCCATGGTCTGAGGCGTGGAAAAGCTGGAAGCTTTAGCTTGAAATAAGCAGCTGCCCTTTCTCCCCATAACGTGAGGCCTCAACAGCTACCCCACCCAGGGGTGACAGCCTGGGTGATAGTCCTAAACACAGTCTGCCAAAATGGGCCCTCCATCCGAGAAAACAAACTCTAGAGGCGTTGTTCCACTTCTCCACTGTGTAAAGGAGATAGGACTGAATTCCGATGTTGAAATCAGGAGGAACCCTAAGGGCTAGCGAGCCTAGTGTTTTACAGAGTGAGCTCCTCAGCATTTCCTTTCAAAAGCATTCTGCAGGTGAGTGAGTGAGATTGGGCTTGTGTGTTCCAGATACTCCTCTTAGAGGTTCACAGTGTATACCACCTGTATCTTGTTTAATGCAACCCTGAGGCAAGCCGTCAGTCCAAGTTAATTTTGGCTATTTTGATGTTTGAATGGAACGATCTGGGGCTCCACCAACAAACTTCATTAGTTTAACAGGGTTGTCATTGCCAAGGCTGAGAGAATGGAATGAGAAAAAAGAAGTTAAGCTGTACAGAAGTGGATGGAGGGAGCCAAAAGTATACAGAACCGCTTAGGTCCTTCAGCTTTTGTGAGAAGCCTCTTTGAAGATCTGATGAAAAGGTAAGGATTGTCTCTCCCAGAAAAGCGCTCATGTGAACCAATGTGACACCATGCACACAACTCCAGGGAGTTTTTAGTAACTGTCCCCTCTCTGCTCCCCGACCCATACAGGGAGGCTCAAAAACTCTGAGCTAATCCAAGGCTCCCAGAACTCAAAGAACAGGGTAGAAAAGTGATTCCCTTCAACTGTTCCCTTTGAAGATTTTTATTTTAAATGTTTCATTTAATTAAAAAAAAAAGTGTGTCTGTGTGTGTGTGTGTGTGTGTGTGTGTGTGTGTGTGAAGGAGCCAAGAAAAAAGCCTGAAGTGTATCACTGTGAAGTAGGGACTGAAAGAAAAGCCCCTGGCACTGTGGGGTGGTGTGAAATGCCACCCGTCTGGGTTTAGGCTGGGTTCCAAATCCTCTCACACCCTGATGCAGTGAGACCAGGCATCCACCTCCCGGGGAAGGACTGCGGAGCCCAGAGCCACCACTAGACGTTGTTCCTTGGCCACTCGGGCTGGCTGGCTGCTGATGCCCAGCAATGTGGCAGCAAGACCCCTCCTAGTGGCACAGGCGCAGCAGTATTTATCTACTCACCAGGATACAACGTAAGGGATAGGAAAACTAGAATTCTTAGCTGAATGCTTCAGCCGTTTGAACCAGGAGGTTCCTGTGCTCCCAGGTTCCACTGGGAGCCCTGCCTGCTGCCCTGTAACAAGATGTGCCTGGTCAGGCAGCAGAAGCACGACTCACAGAACTAGACCCGGCCCTCGGGAGCAGGCTGTGTGGCCGGGGCTTTCAACGCCCAGTCACACAACTGTGGGAACAGCTGGTGCTGCACTTTGGTGGCCTAGTAACGGCTCAGAGTCACTGACAAGGAGAGAGGACACAGGCTGCAGGATGTGTGGAAAGACACACTGCAGCATCTCGGAAATGGGCATGAATGTCCTGCCACCAGTTAATTAAAAAATCTAGTACATAAAAAAAATCTGAAGCACAAGTAGTTCTCTCAGAAACAGAAAACCATGGGATTCTGAGAGTTAAGGAAGGTAAGAGAAAGACAGTGAGAGACAAGGGAGAGAGGGTTTTTAAATGACAATTTAATAGGCTCCCTTCTCTCACTTTCTCCTAATCCTCCAGGGGCTAACAATCAAAAGGCAGGAAACTGAGCTCAGATTTCACAGATTGCTTTCTAGCATAATTATAAATCTAACCTGCATCCAACGATCAGGAAGAAAACAGCTCAGGGACTTTCAGGAAGGAATATATGCTTTCCTAAACCACAACTCTCCCCTCGTGCCTGTATGATGCTCAGCACTGGTTTTCCTTGGGATTCATTCTTTATCTTCAGCATTTTACGGAGACTTCTGTCTAAATAAATTTACTGCTTGGCCTTCTTAAGGTATTTTGAAATGCAACATCCTCAAGAAAATGAACAACTTTCTCTTCATGTTTCCACACAAAATCCTATACTTATACTTGTTTTGTATATTTACCTATCAACTACACACGTATATACAGAGAGACATTATTTCTATACTCCAGGAATCATGAGGAGTGCTCAAGGAACCACACGTCTGCGCTGTTAATGAAATAAACCTGGTGCTGGCAGTGCCTGGGCGCCTCCCGTGAGCTCACTACCGCAGACACTGATGACAGGAAGCAAAACGACTCAGGGCAGCCCCAGCCTTAATTAAACATGGGCAGGACAGTCTGCAGAGATGACACTATATTTGTTAAAAATAAACATTTGCAAGGCTGAACTGCAGTTTGTTAAATTAATTCAAAAAAAGGCTTAAGGCCTTATTTATCTATTATAAATCACTGTGATGTTAAGTTTCCTGAAAAGTTGCAGCACTTCTATCCACTAACCCCATTAACTCTCAAAGAAAAAAGCAAGCATCTCTTCTAAACTGGACTCATAGGCTTATAGCGTGTGAAATGTGAATATTAACAAAAGGAGATCCTAAGAATAGGAACTTGGACTTAATGGGAAAGCACTCCTGTGGACATTATAATCTTTTATTTAGTCTTTTAATGTAGTAGATAGGACTCTGGCTCCACACGGGTCAAGAACTGCAGAAATCATGACTTTTCAACCACACAAAGAGCAGCAGCTAAGAAGAGGGCACTGTTCTGAGTGTTCATGGAGTGGAGGGGGCAGGGGGCTCTCTGGGGCCCTCCCCCCACCTCCCAGAGAGACTGATTCAGCAGGAGAGGCAAAAGGCACATGAGATGCAAACCGGAGCGCAGCATTACCTTTGAACCATGTCTGCAACGGAGGCTAAGAAGCTGTCCATACTTTGGGAAAACATCTCTGCTCCCTTCTTAAAAAAGTTAATCTGAAAGATATAATTATGATATTCTGAAAATTGTCTAAGAAAGGTGATCAATGAATTCATGACACGTGAGACTAACAGCACAGGGGCAGCAGACATTGGCTGGCCCCTCCTCGCGCACTTGCTGCCTCTCTGCTTAGCCCCACCTCACCGGCTGAGATTGACTCCCAAAGCCCCTGGTGTATCTGTAGAGGGAGGAGGGTGAAGCCTCCTAACTTGCTGCAAGACAGTAAAGACCAGGGATAATATAAGTGCTTGGTACATACCACCTCATCCATAATTACTACTGATAATTATTTTGATATTATCATCAGCAGCCTTTTTCCTGTGTGAATTCTAGACAGTAAACTGTTTCTTGAGGGCAAGGATTAGGTCTTGTTCACCTTTGCAACTCCAGGGGCTAAACTGGTGACCAATGACATGCACAGCACCAGCAAGGAGCAGACAAGCAGCATGCGGCTCTCAGTGAAGTGAAGGCCACCACCAACTGCCGCTGCTCATCGAGCCATGTGCGGCTCTGAACACAGGCTGTGTGGATGGTGATTTGGCTGTGATCTTGCAGAGGGAAGACCGGGCAGAAGATCCTTAAAAGGCTCTTCCAACCCAGACATCAACTTAAAAGTGACTGTGTATGAGAAGGACACAGCAGGACTGCACAGGTGCTGGACATGGGGGACAAGGCCCCTGCTGCTCCCCAGCATTCTGATCTGGAAGCAGCCCTGGCCCTGGGTGGTGGGCATGGAGATCGACCTCTCACCTCTAGAAGGCTAGTAGGTGTCATCAGCACAGTCTGACTCCTTACACCTGGCTCCCCAGACACCCTGGGGAAGTATGTACACCAATGTACTTAGTTTTCACAGTACAGAAACACAATGATCATGATTATCCTAATGCAAGGTATACCTGCAGGGAGATGTTCTGGCCCCATTATCTTTGAACCATACAGAGATCAACACTGTAAATGCCATCCTGAGTCCCTGAAATGTTGAATATCAAGGTCTGTTAAACAAGCATCCTACATTTCTAAGTGCACAACATCAAGGTGGCTTTTTCTCTCCTTCCCCTCCCTGAACTCCTTGGAATTTATACTCTAAGTCCATGTCTTAGCTCCTCTACTATTCTGTAAATGCCTAGGGCAGGGGCTCATGCAATCCCTAAAAAGAACCTGATGAATGAACGGATGAAGGAAGGGATACGACACTGGCTTCTACAGCCACATTATGTAGTACTTACCCTGTAAACATGACACTAGAGTTCATTTTTGTGTTCTCATGAACCTGTACACAGATAACAAAACCTCAGTTTGTATGAAGGCCTGAGGACTGAAACATGGTCTAATTGGAAACCTCTTTAATGAGGGCCATGGAAGAAAGAAACGGAGTCAAACCACCTCCACTAAGGTGGGTGGTGCTGAGAAGTCTCAATCAGTGCAACATCATCCAAAGACCTAAGTTCATGGCCCTTTGTGAACAGGAGGAAGTACTATGGTCATATGACCATCAACTGACAAAGTAGATGCTCAATGGGCATTGGTTAAAGAGGGCTGATGAGGCAGTAGGACAGCAAATGCTTTAGAATCATCCCAAAGATTCATGGTGTCAGACAACAACCTGGTCTTTAGGAAGGAACTATAGTTTTCATCAGGATTAAAAAGTCTGCAGGGTGAAAGTTTTATTTGGTCTTCTGTCTTGAAATCTGCATACTTTTCATATGAAAAATGAAACAGGCCATCCTCGGTCCTCAAAAATGATGCTGCCACCACCCAACAATGACGGTGTACTCTGTTCTGACTTCCTAGGCACGGGGGCTACACTGCTGCTAATGCACCCCATGTCTTGTCCTCCCCACTGTGTCCAGGCTGGGAGAAGTGGTGGAGTCCTTGGCCATGGAAGCGAGTGAAACCAGCCAGTATCAAACCCATCCTTTAGGACTTGTGAAGACCCTCCTCTAAACAACCAAGCTCCCCAAGCACGGATCCATCAGGCCGGGAGCAGTTCATCTTTCTGAGATGCTGAGTCCAGGTCCCTCCCTGACTCACGGTCTCTAACTGAGCAGGAATTACTGCTTCAAAGGCAAGAAATGTCAATCAGGGAGGACAGATGTGAAAGGAGGTATTAATCAGAGAGAGCAAAGGAGTACTGGCATTCTCTAACAAAGCAAGGACATCGGCAGGGGCAGAGGTGCAACAGGGGAGGGGAGGGTGACAGAGTGAGCGAGTATACACGTGTGAACACAGTTCCCATTATGAGGAAGCGGGGGAAGCTCCCAAGGATTTGCTGAGGACTGAAGCCCACAGCTGCACAGTGCTAGTTTTTGGTTTAATCCAGCTCTACTCAGCTGACACAGAAAGATTTTATTGCTCTAGTTAAATACCACCTCTAAAGACACCAAGCTGACCTTAGTGTCCCTATCACCCAACAATAAAATAACCATATGAAGAAGACAGACAGCTGAGCTTAGATGTTTAAAGACTCTTGTTCTCCTTTTCCCTGAATGAAACTGATACTGTATTCTTTTGAAATATATGTATTTTTAAAATGTATTTTAAAAAAATAGATGCTCACATGTGGGTTTTTTTAAGTTGCTTTTTTTCTTCTCAACATTTTGCTTCCTCACATTCCTTTCTGTTCCTAGATTGTCAACTGAGAGAAGGTTCCCAGCTGTGTTTCTCACATGCCCAAGTGAGGTTTTGGAGTCAACCTAAGTGGGGCTAAAGCAGGGCAGGGATGGAGGGTGAGGGCTAGTGCCGCACGGTCAAGGGCCCATCCCAAAACTGGAGCCTCCCTGCAAACAAACGTTCAGTAGCCCACGAAATGGGAGGAAGAAGCCAGATAAACGTTCTACAGAGACTTCATCAGGCAGTGGCAACATTTCCCCACGCCCCAGATGCCAAGGTGCCAGCAATAACCTCAGCAACATATCTTCAAAGAACAGCCCAGCTGAGGGTGACCCTTACCACACTGAGAAGCAAAGGATCGTGCGGAGTCCTGGGTTGTAGGCCTAGCTCCACCAACCTGGGAGTCAGCTGCTTCTCAGGAAACTGGACCAGGCCTGGCTTTCATCTGAATCCGACACAAAGGGTCATGCCAGCTCCTCCCCATAGGAGCCTTGAGATCAAAGCCATCATTTCCTGCATGTATAGCCTAGTAAGTCCAACTAATGATGACCCAGCCCCTCTGGAAGCTCTCCAAGTGCTGAATCTCAGAAATTCGTAGGGAGGCTGTGCACCTGTGTTTCTTTCTCTGATGATGCTTCAGTATCTCCTAAGGGCTACATCAGCAGAATGCCATGCTGTTCTCCACAGCTGGCTTAGGTCTGATGCCTCAGGGAAAGGGATCACCCTACCTGTCCGTGGGCAAAGCCTAGCATGGGCTCCATCATGGCCACTCGCTTTCTGTACTGCAGCGCGTTGAGAGCACAGTAGTACTGAAGGGATGAAAGATGCTGTTTCCGCCGGGCAGCTGCCACCTCCTTCACAATTTCAGTCTTCACCTGGTTAAAAGGGGAAAGGAAAACAAACATCAAGTTGTCCAAAGCAAGTGGTCCAAAGCAAGTGGCAATTCTGTAAGAGCATGCAACTTCAAAACATTTTTGTTCATTCATTAGAACAATTTTTGTGACAAAAAACAGATGAGATTCCACCTCAAGTTTTTAAAAATTCCAAATTAAAAATACCAAATTAATGGCATCTCAGTGTTTGTGAGGCTGCACTGGGGTGAAGACAATACTTTCTGCTGGTAGCACTACAAAGAGCTACAATCCTTTAGGAAAACAATATGGCAGCATGCATTCAAAGCCATAAATATTTTGGTTCACTCATAAGATTGTACTCCCAGGAAATCATGGAACAGAAGTAAAAGCTATATGCCTGAAAATATTCAATATTATCTATAGCAGCTAAAAAGCTAGAGAGCATGAGTTAAAAAATCAGAGTCAACATCCAGGGCAAGGAGTTCAAGTGCCCAAGTATATGTGAGTCAGATAACCATATGAGCTATCAAGCTTAAGTTAGAATCATTACGTGATTATCATTTTACAATGGTTCCAAGTTGACATTTAATAAACCAGTTTGAAAAAAGCTAGAACAGAGAAGAAGTCTACTTATGAGATTTGGAATAAATATTTTAAAAATCCAGGGACTTCCCTGGTGGCAGAGTGGTTAAGAATCTGCCTGCCAATGCGGGGGACACAGATTCGATCCCTGGTCCGGGAAGATCCCACATGCCGCGGAGCAACTAAGCCCGTGTGCCACAACTACTGAGCCTGTGCCCCAGAGACCGCAAGCCACAACTACTGAGCCTGCGTGCTGCAATTACTCAAGCCTGTACGCCTAAAGCCTGTACTCCACAAAAAGAGAAGCCACCACAATAAGAAGCCCATGCACCACAACCAAGAGTAGCTCCTGCTCGCCGCAACTAGAGAAAGCCCGTGCGCAGCAACGAAGACCCAACGCAGCCAAAAATAAATAAATAAATAAATAAATTTATTATTTTTTTAAATCCATGTACAGGAGAAAAAAAAGAATTCATCAGGACACCCTCAATGCCACAAATTCACAATAGGGAAACATAAAAGGAGCTTAAGTAAATGAAGTGAAAAATGGAAGGTAGGTATTCGTACCTTTTCATTCTCCTTTTTTTTAGGAAGCCTGCTATATTTTGCCATTGAGAGGTCATGCTCTAAAAATAAAGAGATATTTTAGCACCTAGATGGGCTGAAAGGCAAGAACATTCATTCAGCATCTCCTCCCCCAGACATACTAAACTCACATACCAAGAACAGAGAAGATGCTTACCATTGCTGGCGAGTCCAAAAAGATCCTTTAAAGTGCTTACTTCTGAACAAGAGAAAAGAAACATCTTAAAGCAAAGAAAAATAAAATATGCTAACCTGGAGGTCTGTGCTTTCCCAAGAAAATAAAGGTATGTGCGTGGAAGGGGGAAACTCCGCCAGCACCCTCGGGTCCTGGTGCCTGGGGATGCTTGTTTTAATGAAAGAAATCTGAAGCAATCTAGTATACTGTACTTGCAACAAGCCAACACCAATAAATATTACTCCATGTGGGTGCCACACCCATCATGCACAAAGACGGCTTAACAAAGTCTAAGACCAAAAAAACAAAAAGTTAGTGAGAGCAATGACTGTCCAAGGTTAAAAATTTAAAAGCACAGAGATATTTAAAAGGAAGTGACACTTTCTACGATTCTAAAACAATCCATTTTTACTTTGTCAAACAGAGCAAAGCATTTTCACATCTTCTACATTGTTTTTCGAACTGTCTCAAAACTGCCTCCAGCTTTTAAATTTCTCTTCACATTTTTCTTACTCTTTCTGATATGGGGCTGCTTTCTGCCTTTCTCTTCTTTAATTTTTCATTTCTTTCTCATCTTCTACTTCCTGTTGGAGCATTTTTAGAGTTTCTTCCTCATCAATTTTAAATAGCTTCCTAAATAACTCTTGTATTCTCTTCATTCAGATTATGCACTTACATTGGTGGGTAAATGAAAAAGGCAACAAAATGTAAAATAAAACACCACTCCCACTACTGGGCATATACCCCGAAAAAACCATAATTCAAAAAGAGTCTTGGGGCTTCCCTGGTGGTGCAATGGTTGGGAGTCTGCCTGCCGATGCGGGGGACGTGGGTTCATGCCCTGGTCCAGGAGGATCCCACATGCTGTGGAGCGGCTGGGCCCGTGAGCCATGGCCGCTGAGCCTGTGCTCCGCAACGGGAGGGGCCACAGCGGTGAGAGGCCCACATAAAAAAAAAAAAAAAAAAAAACCCCAAAAAACCCAAAAAGAGTCATGTACCACATGTTCAGTGCAGCTCTATTTACAATAGCCAGGACATGGAAACAACCTAAGTGTCCATCAACAGATGAATGGATAAAGAATATGTGGCACATAAATACAATGGAATATTACTTGGCCATAAAAAGAAACGAAATTGAGTTATTTGTAGTGAGTCTGTCATACAGAGTGAAGTTAAGTCAGAAAGAGATAAACAAATACCGTATGCTAACACACATATATGGAATCTTAAAAAAAAAATGGTTCTGATGAACCTAGGGGCAGGCCAGGAATAAAGATGCAACGTAGAGAATGGACTTGAGGACATGGGGAGGGGGAAGGGTAAGCTGGGATGAAGTGAGAGAGTAGCACTGACATATATACACTACGAAATGTAAAATCGATAGCTAGTGGGAAGCAGCTGCATAACACAAGGAGATCAGTTTGGTGCTTTGTGACCATCTAGAGGGGTGGGATAGGGAGGGTGGGTGGGAGGGAGATGCAAGAGGGAGGAGATATGGGGATATATGTATATGTACAGCTGATTCACTTTGTTATAAAGCAGAAACTAACACACCATTGTAAAGTAATTATACTCCAATAAAGATGTTAAAAAAAAAAGCAAAACAAAAAAAAACACCACTAAGCAGAGGGGATGCCAGATTCTAATTTGGTTCTGATTTTGACTCAGGTATGACCCAAGCCAAACACTTAAAATTTCTGTCTTGGTGTCAGCAGAAAAGTATACGTTGATTAACTTTTTTCATAGATACTAAGAGCTTCCCTTTTACTACTACTAGACAGTTTTATTTTCTTAAAAAAAAAATCATCATCCTGGGTAAATACTACTGATACTACTAATCCACAAGTTGAGCCCTTTTGGACTAACAAAGGCCACATCATCAACACTACTGGGCATTCTCAATCCTAGGTTCCTATAAACAAACCTGAAAGACATCAATCTGACAGTACAAGTCTTAGGGGGTAATTATTTTGTTTCTAAAAGACTTGGAGTTTGTTTTTTAAATGATATCCCCACACATTTCTAATGTTTTCATTTAGAGAAAATCTTTTTTAAAAATGCACTCAATGAGGCTTTCAGTTACTACTGGATAATCAGCACATGACCGCATTTAAGTTTGGGTTTTACATGTGATTACAGATGAGCAACACTAAAAAACACTAAAAACCCTGCTCAATCAAGGTTTCTCTTTATACAAGCTAACATATTATTTATTATTTTTTATTTATCAAGTGTTAGTGCTATCACTCTGCCCTTGGGTAGAGTTTATGCCAGTTCTGCTATTTCCCCCATAGACTTCAGATGACATGGTCACAGGGGATCTCAAAGTGAAGGGAAAAAAGCGTCATATTTAAGATTTGGCCTTCCATTTACTGCATCTTTTCTGCCTAAAAAGAAAGTTTTAAACTTCTTGGTTTTAAACAGGAAGTACTATACTGAACAACAGATATTTCAGCACTCAGGTTTAGACTTTTTTGGTCTGCAGTGTTTTATAATCGGTGTTCTAGAAAATACAATTCTTTATTCTCTATGCAATGAATATTTTCAATGAAATAAAGGACAAAAGGACTAGAAAATCTGCATTCCCTTTTGTAATATCAACTAAGTTTTTTCAAGATTATTTATTTATTTATTTATTTAATTAATTTTGCGGTACGCGGGCCTCTCACTGTTGTGGCCTCTCCCATTGCGGAGCACAGGCTCCAGACGCGCAGGCTCAGCAGCCACGGCTCACGGGCCCAGCCGCCCCGTGGCATGTGGGATCTTCCCGGACCAGGGCACGAACCCGTGTCCCCTGCATCGGCAGGCAGACTCTCAACCACTGCACCACCAGGGAAGCCCTTATTTATTCTTTATATTTAGTTTTTGACTACCTTGATTTCAAATGATATAAAATTATTCTAAAGTTTTATTTTAGTTGAAGAATCAAAATTAATCCAGAAGATCAACTAGGCTCTCTGAACTAGTCACAGATACTCCCACTCACTAAAATGGAGCTCCATCAGAACAGGGACCCTATCTACCTGTTCACAGCTGTACCCCCAGAGTCTAGCACAGATAAAGCATGGTCCCCACTCTGTCCTTTCTTCTCCAAGCCTCCCACTTTACATTCCAAAGTGCTCATGGCTCCTCAAGAACAGCATGCCTTTACAAATGTCCCCTAACCTGTAATATAAGCCTGCCGTCTTTGTCTACTTGGTAAACATTTATTTATCAAAACCCAGCTCAGAGATCTTCTTCTCTGGGAAGCCTTCCCTGGCACCTCATCCTCAAAGGGTAATCACGCCTTTCTGTGTGCCATTTCTATTCCTTGTACATCTCTGTCCTGCTGCCCTCATCACATAATATTACAATTGTCTGCTTCCAACTCTGTTTTCTTATTGGCCTGTGACTTCCTTTAGGTGAGCCAAGAACATAGTGAAGATTTAATAAAAGCTGAAAAAGAGGGCATTTCTCAATGATCCACACAGTTAAAGAAATAACTGCAGTAAAAATTACTATTAAATGAATTAATATTCTTAAAGTATATGGCACTGAACTCAGTTACTTTACCTGTAAGATCCTTTTCTCGAAACTGTATAATCGGTAGAACCATTGTGTCTGCCAACTGTTTAGCCAGCTCTGTATGGAGAACATTAAGCTGAAAGAAAGAGAAATCTACTGAAGAAAATTATACCCACTATTACTGACACTGTCTTATTTCACTGAGGGATCACGCTGAACACATCCATGTGGTTAAAGAGGAAGTTACACTTCCTTAGCAAATAAATGCCCTTCATAAAGCAGTAAATGACATAAGCTAAGAGGTATTAAAAACTAAATGCAAGTTTCTAACTGACCGGGGCATCAGTTAAGTTTGCTAAAAGAGTCTCCGAGCCCACAGTTATTGTTTGTTAACTGTGCAAACTGTGGCTCTGTGTTCTTGATGTGAGCCACACCCACCTAGAGAGGGAGAAAGCTCTGATGTGCTGGCAGCACAGGTCAGCACTTTGCCGGGCCTCTGTGTGCTCTCACTCTCAGAGGGGGCTGAAGTCACCCCTGAAAGACAGGCCTGCTGGGAACCTACTAACCCTGCAACTACAGACACTGGGGGCCCGGGAATTGCTGTGGAGAAAGAATGCTCCCCGCAGAAATAACTCAGCCAGATTTCAGACCTTTCTAAGCACAAGAAAGCTGTATTCAAATGTGCTCCTCCTCACTAGATAATTTTAACAGCCCTTGATTCTTTCTCCCCTTCTACCTCAAGGCCTTAACTAAATCCTGTCTTTGTAAATCGTCTAGGAGAAATAAAAATTATCACCATCAGCACTACCACTTTTGAGCTCTTTCTGTGTGCCACCTTTACATGCTTTATACCACTTAGTTCCCACCTACTCTGTTAGATGGGTGTTATTTATTATCCTCATTTTTACAGGAGGGCAAATAAATCTCCAAATCCAGAGAGCAACTAAGTGACACACCTGGGATTTTAATCCTGGGCTACTGGGATCCAAAATCTATGCTCTTCCCAACACACTGTCTGGGATATAGAGTTTGTCTTTCATGCTCACAAAGCTGCCAAAACTTTAAACATGTGGTAGTCAGTAATGAACACAGTGGAAGGCCCAGACTTCCAGATATTATGAGGATGCTCTGGGATTCCTGTTGGGTATATAAGGGGAGATCACCCAGCAGTCATCTTGTGGAGTAAACATTTGGCAAAGTTTTCTTTCAGCAGTGATAGCAGTCACATGTCTGAATCCCCCTTCTGCACACGGATCTCCCCCCAACAGATCTGGTCCTTCAGGGTTGTGCTTGCAGAGGCTGCTCTGACAAGCTTAAAGACTGGCTTCAGGTCAACCATCTGTCAGGCCAGGGAGTGACAGGCCAAGAAGTCAATGTTCTCCCTATCTTTCTATCAAGCCAAAGAATGGCAGCTTTTTCTGAGGGGAACGCATGAAGACAGCCATGCCAAAAAATGCATTAGGATGTAATGTGTTAACTACTTTTCCTGAATAACTTCAATAAGAAATGTACTGTTTTTTTTTTTACTAACAGTTAATTAGATGAATTGGCTCTGCGCCAAATGCTCTGATATAATTATTTAATTTAACCTTTATAACAGCCTAATTAAGTGGACTGTCCTGCTACTGCCATTTACAGATGAAAAAGAACAAAACTCAGAGAAGTTAAATGGTTTTCTTTCCAGTGGTTATGCACTTCAAGAATGGCAAATTTCCTAGCTACTCTACTACTGCTTCTTAAGGATCAAGTGGTCTGTGCCACCAACTTTTTGCCTTGGGGCTTTGAGAGGTAAGGGATAATCACTTCCAAACACAGCACCTTTGCTGAGGAGAGTGCGAAGAGCACAGACCACCTCTTGGCACTTCAGTATCGTCACAGGGAAAATGGGCATAACAGCATCTTCCTTGCATGGCTCTTTTGACGATAAAACAAAACATGAACAGGAAACACTCAGAGCAGAGGGCTTGACATATAGTGGGCAATGAAATCCATAATGTCAAAGATTTCCTGTCTCAGATGCACTAAAAGGAAGTAATCTGCTTTTGGTACAATCAACAAGGATAAAAAATCTCTGTATGCCTAGGACATCGAATACCTGAATCCAATGCATTCTATTAAATATAAGCAACACAAATCTCTACTTTTAGTTGGATTTTTCAATTTCTGAGTCAAGTTACTTCTCTTGAAAAATTTTCAACCTGATGCAGGCCCACCTTTTGAGAAAACCACCTCAAAAGCTACTCCACTCTTCCCACCTGAGTTAAATGCTTTCACTGGCTTAGGTCTTGACATCAAGAGGCTTGTTTAAAAACTCACAGTGTTAAGCTTCCAGGAGGCCATGACACTGCCTTTAAATCACAATTCTAGGCTTCCATCCTTCTGGAATGATTCACTCCCCACTAAAGGAACTGTCATTAGCTAATAGGCAAATGAAAAGATGCTCGACATCACTAATTGTTAGAGAAATGCAAATCACAACTACAATGAGGTATCACCTCACACCGGTCAGAATGGCCATCATTAAAAAGTCTACAAATACTAAATGCTGGAGAGGGTGTGGAGAAAAGGGAACCCTCCTACACTATTGGTGGGAACGTAAATTGGTGCAGCCACTAAAGAAATCAGTATGGAGGTTCCTTAAAAAACTTAAAAACAGAGTTACCATATGACCTAGCAATCCCAATCCTGGGCATATATCCACAGAAAACTCTAATTTGAAAAGATACATGCACCCCAATGTTCACAGCAGCACTATTTACATGGCCAAGACACGGAAGCAACCTAAGGGTCCATTGACAGATGAATGGATAAAGATCTGGTGTGTGTAGACGTACACACACACACACACACACACACACACACTGGACTACTACTCAGCCATAAAAAAGAATGAAATAATGCCATCTGCAGCAACATGGATGGACCTGGAGATTATCATATTAAGTGAAGTTAGGTCAGAGAGAGAAAGACAAATATCATATGATATTACTTATACATGGAATCTAAAACATGATACAAATGAACTTATTAACAAAACAGAAACAGACTCACAGACATAGAAAGCAAACTTATAGTTTCCAAAGGGGAAGAGGGGAGGAATAAATTAGGAGTTTGGGATTAGCAGATACAGCCTACTATATATAAAGTAGATAAACAACATGGTCCCACTGTATAGCACAGGGAACTATGTTCAATATTGTGTACTAAACTATAACAGAAAAGAATATGAAAAAAAGATACATATATCTGAATCACTTTGCTGTACACCAGAAACACTGTAAATCAACTATATTTCAATAACACATTAATTCAAAAAAAAGAATCATCATTCCCACCCATGAAAATACAGCTCTGAGTAAATATCTTAAAGTAGAAATCCTGGTTTAGGGTTTTGACAACTAATCACATTTCCTGAACAAATCTCCTCTAGTCAAGAAAACACATAACTTCAGTGGGTGTAGACTACTGCTTCTCCCCCTGGGTTATTCATTCACTGTTAATTAAGAAAAATTCTTCTCCCCACCTTCAAAAAAATTTACTTTCTGCTCCTCTCTAATTCCATTCTCCATTCATCCTCCTCCTCTTCTGGAATAGATATACATCCATATTATCACACACTTCAAAGAGCCACAGCAGTGGGACAGAGGACAAAGTTCACAAGGAAGTGGACAGTTTGTATCTATATCCCCGGTGCCTAGAATTGCATCTGCTAAATAGTAGGTGGTCAGTAAATGTTTTGTTGAATGAATAATGCCTCGGTGAACTGATCTGTTGAATGAATGAACAGGCAATTGGTACAATTTGATATGAACGTTAGTTTCTCATTTTATGAACTGAAGATAGCGTTACGTTCATATCAATGATTGCACAGTGAAATGGCATCTGTACATTGCCTTTTTTGCTTATTCTCTATGGTGATATTCTACTGTAGGTACTACACACTCCTTGGAAGGTGAAACAGTTCATACCTACCTAATTTGGCAGAGGGTTCTGCCCAACACCAGTAGCATCTGAGCTCATGTTTTTTACAATTACGATTTATGTATTTTTTCTATAACAATACCTGCTTTTCACAAATATTTCAAATGTATTATACAATACAGCTACAAAAACCGTTGTAAGAAATCTCTCTTTAGTGGGTTCAATCGCACTCCCCCCAAAGATATGTTTATACCAAACACCATGTGAATATTTGGGAAAAGGGTCTTTGCAGATTCAATAAAGGATCTCAAAAAAAGACCATCCTAGGTTATCCTGGTGGGCCCTAAATCCACTGACAAGAGCTCTTATAAGAAGAAAAGACACAGACAGAAGAGAAAAAACACAAGGGTGGCGTGGGGAGAGAAGGCCATGTGAAGTCAGGGGCAGAGATTGGAGTTATGCTGCCACAAGCCAAGGAACACCCAGAGTCACCAGATGTTGGAAGAAGCAAAGAAGGATTCTCCCCTAGATACTCTGGAGGGAACGTGGCACTGCCAACAACTTGATTTCATACTTCAGGCCTCCAGAACTGTGAGAGAATAAATTTCTATTGTTTTAGGCCACCTACTTGTAATTTTACTACAGCAGCCCTGAGAAACTAATTCTCCCTCCTCAGGAAACTGAATTCTTAGAAGTCTTTCTTTCAGTCTATTGTTCATATATATACCAAAGCCTTTCCCCTCAAACCAGAAACAAACGGAACAGCATACAACCTCTTTTATGAAATGAACCTTGGAAGATAAGGTTGAGATACCTTCTCAGATATTTAAGTAGATATCTAAAAATAAAAAGTGGGCCAAAATAAAGATGAAAGAAAGTTCAAAAAAGAATCAAATAAAATTTTGCCATGTGGCTATCTTACCTCATCCACCACTTTGGAAAAATACTGGAGTGTAGAAATTACTTCTTCATCGCCTTTGCCAAGAGCAAAATTCTACCACCAAAGAAGAAAAGCAGCAGGTATTAACTGAATGCTAGGGAATTCAGCACCAGAGCGTTACCCCACAATACCCTGCCCTCCACCTCGACTTCCTCTCTTCTCCCAAGAGCACATCATGTCAGAGCGTCTGACTGCGGAGAACTAGAGCTCTCCCCTTGTTCTGCCCCAGCCACGCAGTCAACCGCCCTTCCCAGGCTACTCCTTTGTCGGTCAGCACCCTTCTGTTGAGATATAATGGTATCTTTCAGTTTATTTCCTGGAATTCTTAGTGTTGATTCATTTGTAGTCCCTCAGAAAATATGAACCCTCAGGGCAGTTGATTACTTCTGTAGGCTAATAAGAATACATCGTAAAGACTTTGGGATAATCATCAGAATTTATCAGTGGACAGGAAAAGGCAAGACAAAAGAAAAAATGGAAATTGCCTATGGAAAAAAAGAAAGGAAGGAAGGAAGGCCTCTAAAGGTTGCCTCTAGAGAATTCCTTTATAAGAACTCCGCTTGAGCCCTAAGCACAGCATTATATGCCACATATATATCAAGTTACCTGTTTTTCATATGCCAGCAGTTGCTTAGAAAGCTGTTGAGTAGCCAGGCACATTTCATTCTGTAGGGAGAAGAGAAAAACAAGTAAGATTTGTCCAGTGCATACACAGTCACTGAAAAATGCCACCTCAGAGAATCACTTAAACATAATATATATGTATCTATAAAATAATAAAATATTTTGTTCAGAAATTATTTGGAAAACAAGACCAAAACAAATTAAAAGGTTAAAGCTTGCTTTTTCCTCCCTATCATTTATAAACTGACGTTCCTTCTGGTCATTCAGTCAGTAAACAAATGTAGTGAACAACTAACATGTGCCAAACCTCCAGCAAAGACGTGGTCCCTGCCCTCATGGGGTTTACTGGGGAAGCAGACACTAAAAAATAGTTACAAGCATGAGAACCACAAAGGAAATACTGCGTGCAGTAGGAGGCTCTGACTGGAGGATCTGCATGGTCCTCAAGAAGACCATGGAAGAGATGTTTTAAGCAGACCCCTGGAGAAAGACCAGGAGCTAGCCATGGGGATGAGCTTTCCAGAAGGAGGGACAAGCCTGTAGTAAAAGCACCCTGCCTGTCTGTAGAGCTATAAAGCAGTGCATAGCTGGAACATAGGATGCAAGCCTGGCAACGTAGGCAGAGCAAGGGCATGTGGGGCTCCATGGCCCAGTTGCAGACTTTAAGTGCAGTGGGAATTTAAGCAACATTATGACACAGTCAGATTCTACCAAACTTATAGCACTAGGTCAGTAATGATGGATGGTAACACAGAAGCACAGCTACAATGCCTGGGAAGGCCCTTTCTGTGCTGTTTTTCACTGGCCAATACTGTCCACTTTCTTCTTCTCATATTTATCCCTCTGATCTCCGGCTACACAGCAGCTGTCTACCACTATCCTCCCATCATCAACACATCCAGCCTAGAAAACGTGTCTTACGTTTCTAAAGCTCAGTTAAGGATTCTTTTTAGGTTCAGGGTGTATTCCTAAGGGAGGGAGGGAGCTACTGGGTCTGACCTGGAACAGATAAGAGGAGGGCACTGGCCAGCCTTGGCCTCCACTTCCTTTCTAATTCCCCTGGGTTTGCTGTTCCTTAGGGGTAAGGCCTGAACTCCGCCGGAGCTTGTTTTATTTTTCACGGGCCTCCTTTGCAAGACCCATCAGAGCCTAATCCTATGTTTTTTGGGACTTCTTTGCAGATAACTGGTCAACCTGTTCCCTGACTTCCTTCATCTGCCCCAAGAAACAGCCATCAGTAGACCCTGAAACGTGGCGCTCTCTCTTCTCCCCCAGAATAAAGTCAGGCAAACATAATGATAATTCCTGGCTTTGGCATCCTACTGGGGTGCCACCACTTTGAAAACTAGCCAGAGCTGGCAGTCACAAAGCCAAGAGGAGGGCAAACAAACAAATCCAGAAGTACTATGTCCTGGATCTAGACAAGCACATGCAACCATTACCTAGCACAGGGCAGGCACTCCACAAATGTTTGATGAATGAAGGAACAAACAAGCTTAGAAGATTCATATAAATTTCAAGTTTTTAAACAATACCTGGAATCATAGTGTGAGGGGAGAAATACTTCCTAACCCTGTAAGGCAACATCACAAATGGTGGGAAATAAAATACAGAGTGGACAGGCATAAAGCAGTCAGCCAGGAAACAGCCAGTTGACCATCGTTAGCAGTGCTGTTTTGAAGATCAGGGCGCATGGGAACAAGGGTCTTAGCCCATTCACTGAGCTGCTACCCTGCTGTATCAGAAAATCCCCATCTCCTCTGAGTTAGCAGCAGTGCGTTCAAGATGGATTTGTTCGAGTTACCTTGGCATCTGCCTCCCCAGGCAGCCCCATGTAGACTATGATTTGCAGACCCACAGAATCATCCTAACAATAGCAGCTAACATTTACACAGCACTTAATTCATGCCAGATACCAACTAACTGCAATCCAGGCATTATGTCACTTAATTCTGACAACCCTGTCAGGCATGTTCTAATTAGTAACTCAATTTTACAGAAGAAATGGAGGCACAGAGATGTTAGGCCACCTGCCCAAGGTCACACAGCTAGTTAGTAGCAGGGCTGGGATGTGAATTCATGTCTGTCTAAAATCCACACTCTTAAACACTACTCTCTAAGATCCCAAGTCCTGCTAAGAGAAAAGACCTGAGAAGGCCACTGCCTTAGGCTAGAGTTGACAAACTTCTCCTGTAAAAGGCTAGATAGCAATTATTTTTGGCTTATGGGATATACAGTCTTTGTCACAACACAAGAGCAGCCATAAATAATTCATGAACAAATGAGTACGGCTTTGTTCCAATAAAACTTTATTTACAAAAATAAGAAGCCAGTCCAAGGGCTGTAAAGTACTGATCCTGCTTTAGACTGTAACTGTCTCAAAAGAGCCGTCCTCTGCCACAGCTCCCTCAGGAGGCTCTCCGTGAAGCCACAATCCTTCAGATTCAAGAAACAGTTTCTACTCTTCTAGTCCATTCTTTTCTTTATTTTAGCTAAGTCTAAAATATTACTCCCCCATATCTGTATTCTTTAGAGACCGGTCAACAGATATGATAACCACCCTCCATGCTTTCATAACAAGCAAGTGCCACAGGCTACTTGAATTCTTCTCTCCTTTAGAAGGTACTGGCAAGCACCCCACCTGTAGTGGACACACCTGCCAGGGAGCTGCTGGCATCTGACTGTGCCCAGGTCAAGGGGGGGCACTCATGTGCCATGCGCACAACTCCACTGAGGCTGAGGAAGAAGGGGCACAGCACACAACAGACAACTGCTTCCAAAATTCCTGTGTACAGTGGACTCTGCCGGGTCTCCCCTAGAAATACTTTCTGAAAGTGCTATGTATTTCAGATGTGTGTGATTTCAGGCAGCAAGATTCTGTTCTTCCAGCATGATTCCACTGGGTACAAACAATACATGTACAAAATGGCCTGTCATCTGCCCTGAAAAGAAATGAACCTCTCCTATACAGAGCACGTGACATGAAAAGTCTTTTAAACTAGACCAACTTTAATCTTACACTTAATCTACTGTACACAAAGGTTTTATGAAATGCTTTACCTAGTTAATACACACCCTGTGAGGTAAGCCTGCTTAATTATCTCTTCAATAAGACTTGCAAAACTGGAACTTGCGTGAAGAGTAAATATTAGCAGTAAAAATAATAAAGATAGCTGCTAACATTTACGGAGTCTTTTTTAGGGACCTGACATTGCTGTTAAGCATTTTTTATATATTATTACATTTAATTCTTACAAGGCACTTATGAGGTAGGGGATATTCTTACCCTCATTTTACAAATGAGGAGAAAAAGGTTCAGAAAGGATAATACCTTTCTATAATTACACAACTAGTAACTGGCAAGGCAACGATTCAACACAGATCTGTCAGACTCAAAATCTAAAGCCCAAGTGCTCAACACCATACTATTCTGATCCAAAGTCCAAAACTGTATTTAATAGTACTGTACTCAGTGAGCAGGCCTCACAGGCGCTACAGATATCGGCATAAATCCCATACTTTTCTAGCTGTAGTCCAGCAAAAGTGGTGGCCTAAAATGTAGATTCTAAATGGAGTTCTGCGAGTAAGAGTCCGACACCCTGGAAAAGCTCTCTGGTTACTATCTATGCTATTGGGTACCTCATAGGAAGCCTTAAGAGATGACCTGACGAAGGTTTACCGACAGAATATCCTATGTTCATCAGAACTTCCCAAGGCTCGCGCCAAGGCAGAAAGACCAGTGGTTAACAAACCCGGAAGGAAAACTGAGCTCTGGGCAGAGCGCTCGCTAACTGCAACTGTCACCTGAAACCACCCAAAGGCCTCTGGGCAGGAATGGAGAGGCCAGGAGCAGGGGCAGAGGAAATCCACTAGAGTCAAAGTCACAGTGTAGGCACTGCTTTGATCTAGGCTAAACAACTGGCCAGAAATGTTACCTAAAGCCAAGTGGCTGAGAGTCTCATTCATCAAAGTGTCTGAGAGTCTCATTCATCATAGCGCTACCCCAAAGCTGGGGTCAGGGAGCCGCACTGGATCAGGAGCCCCCTGGGGGGGGGCGGCGCACAGAGGGAGTGGCGAGGAATGTAGCAAGGACAGAGGCTGGAGAGCTGTGTTTGGGGCAGGCCATGTGGGGATGCTTGCTGAGGACTCTGACATTATTCTGCCAGCACCAGGGAAGCCCCGAGGAACTTTGGCAAGAGAATGACAAGGTCAGATGTGAGCAGAAGAAAAATCATGAATGGCTGTGGTGGAAAAAGAGGTTGACATGAGGGTCAGGAGACCACCTGAAGTCGAGTGAGAGAGAAAAAAGGCTGAGCCCGAGCCAGAAAGTAGCAGAGGTATGCCTGGTATCGCTGAGGCAAAAACAACAGGCTAGAGTGAATGAGGAAGGAGGGGGAGTCCAAGATGAATGGACCCTAGACTGGATGACCCATGATGGCAGTGCACCGAGCTAAGGTGCTGACAAGGGGACACAGATCTGGGAGGGACAATAAATCGCACAGAGGGGGTGTGCCGACGGTCTGGTCGAGGTGGCCCGGATGCAGTCTTTCATTTAACACCTATTTATCAAACACTGAGCGGGGCCACGGAAGGTGCTGGCCATTGGAGACAATCTGCTCTCAGAGCTCACAGTGCACAGGGAGGAAAGAAAATCCCCCACTGTCCCTCAGTGCTCTGACCAACAAGAGTGCAAGGCATCTGGGCACACGGGTGAAGGGTGCTTTGGTCCGAAGGGAGAAAAGGAAGAAAGAAAAGGTGTCAGACACCTCGGACCTGAGGTCAGTCTTAAACGCCATTTGCTGGGAAGGCCATTTGCCAGGGCAAGGGGTCCATGTGGAGTCCTGGAATTAGGAAGGGCATAGCAAAGTCTCGAGATGTGCAGAGGGCCTGGCACATTCTGGAACAGCCAAAGACGAAGCTAGAGGAGTAGGCTGAAACTCAGCTCATGAAGAGCTTTGTGTGCCTTGATGAGGAGTTTTTACCTCTGTCTGTGGTTACAGGGAGCCACAGAAGCAGGTGAAGACAGGGAGGGAAGGGAGGTT